TTGTTTCCTCTCCGCCCCCAGAAACTTAAACACAAAAACAAACTAATTCTCAAATAAATAAACGAAGCATCTTTACACTCCTTGACCAACTATTATACTTGCAACTCACAGCAACTTCCCAAGCAACCACGTTCGCACTTCCTTGCTCAAGCACACACAAACACATACAAATCACTGGGCACCACACTAGGCCATCCTGGGTTCCATTCGTCCTTTTCAGGATAGATTCATCAACAGTAGTAGTCTATGCCAAGATCTTATTGTGGTTAGCAGCTGTTGTCGCACGTGTACGTTCTTCAGTAGTTTCAAATTTTTAAATCATATATCGATCATTTGACATTTCGTATGACCCTACGAATTCTGCACTCAACTTGGAGCCTGGACGTTATTGTGTTTGCTAGACGGCATCGATATCTCCTTCCTTAAAAGGAATTAATTCTTTTCTTTTTTGTTGTAATGTTTTCTGTTCTCTTCTTGAACTTTAATGCTCTATTTTGATTCAATATTCTTTTGTAACTCATTATCATGCACCTGAACTTTCTGAAGGTAAGCCATTAATTAACTTTCTTCTTTATCTACAAGCATAACCTCTGGCTGAAATCTTCAAAATGTCGGATGTGTTGTCCCACAACACAATCGAAATCTTGTGCCCATCCCACGAGGGCATGCTTCCTTTTTTATATAATGACATAATAAATGTCAGACAATCAATAATAAATTTGAACTTAATTCCAATCAAATATACTCGGAACTTTTGGAAAACCTTCACGATTAATCAAACCTCTAACTTATACTTTTCCTCAGGTGCAGAAGTTTTACCTCTGGCATCAGTATGTAGTTCTGTTTCGACGTTAGGGTTATACAGGGTTAATATATGTTGCGAGCTTTTAAATAACTACTAATTGCTTTATTCTTAATGAATCGTCACGTTTTCTTACCAAACCTATAGGACTAAACTTGATGGTCTAATTATTCCGTGCTTCAATTTGTTCAATTTCTTGTTAATTTCGTTGGCACAGATTTTGACGTTCGTAGTTTTCGATTAGTGTCTCTATTTCCTCACGTACTTTGTTGTCTCATATAAGGAAACGTAGAATACTTACTGTTCGTTTCAAGAAGTTGGAGATATGCCCCTTCCCTTTATTAGGATGCGCCATAGCATAATTCCAAATTCAATCAATTGTCTGCGGAGCTCATTTCTACACCGATCATCGAGTGAGAACTAGACAAAAGTGTACAGTATCATTTGCAAAATTATTTAAACTGCCTCAATAACTTTTAAGAATATATGCTTTATTTAATAGCATATTTAGCCAAAAATAATAACAAGTGAATTAACTTAACGCTCTACACACCTATTAAACTTTTGCTTTGTTTTCTATTGTTAATTTATATACATTTTTGTTTTAAGAAATTGCTAAACATTTTCGTCTAGTACTGTACAGTTCTAGCCGATCTCCTAAGACCGCCCATCGAGAGCTCTGCTCGTTCAAGCTTGTTCCAACTATTTCT